CACATTAGATTACGTCATATTTTCCTTAAATATGTAAGGAACCAAAAATTAATTAATTCTAAATTAAAACTATTGTGAAGAAGATGACCTTGGCTAGAGTTTTAATTAAGACAAATACATTTACAAGAGAAGAAAACGAGAATATCAACAACGGTCAACAAATAAAAAAAAGATGAAGACAATAACAATAGAGATGACAACAATGGATCATGACAAGTGACAAAGATCAATATTAAAAAAAAGTTAATATTGTCTTTATCTTTAATATATCATCATTTATCTTATATATCACTTAAAAATTAAAAAAATATCATTCAAAGTTAACCTAAAATATTTTCAAAATCATCACATAAAAATCATTGAAGTTGTGCCTTAAAAAACCGATTTTAGTGCTGAAATGATAATGGTATTCAAATACCATCTTCTTGTATTCGAATACAAGTGTCAAAATTAAAATAATAATAATAATAATATGAACCCGTGTGTTTTTTTTTCTCATGATTTTGGCATTCAAATACCACCTGAATCAATGTGTTTTTTCTTCAAACGTAGTCATTGTGTTAAATGATAAAGCTTCATAGAACCTTTCAAATTTATACAATCATTCATATAGGCTTTTAGAAGTGTACATAAAACATTATACACTAGAAAATAAATCACCGACTTTCAAAATCAGATATATAAGAATCAAATGTCATTTTCAAAGTGTTATTTATTTTTCAAATGATTTGAAACTATGTAAACTTTCATAAATAAAAAAATATTCATAAACAAAAATTGATTATGAGCAATTAAATGACATACTTTAAATTGTGATATTGAAAAAATAAAGTCTATAAATCTCCATATTAAACTTGACATACAACCTACTATTACATCATTCATTTCTCAATAAAAGTTTGAGTGTTTGGTGTTTTTCATCATATTTTGTGTTGGTGAAAAGTATTTATAATTAAAAAATAGTGTATTTTCTGATTTTTGTGAGAATCATCATAGTATTTGATGATTGTGAAAATTCTTTTTTAGTCGGGATGACTCAAAATCCATATAAAATTTGATGAGGTAAAATAGTAATTATAATGTAGGATTGACAGACTCGTGGGTAAAATAATTGTAATTTAGTCTACCAACAAATTAAATCAAACCAATCATTTTCTTTTTTTTTTGGTCGAAACGAACCGACCCTTTTGATAATTATAATGTGCTCAATAAGAATATTTGGCCTATTTTAGATCTAATTTTTTAGCCACATTGACACGAATGAAAATTTTGTAGTCCACTTTCTAACACAAAAAAAAAAAAAAGTTTTTTAGACTATGGCTCGAGGATTATGCTCTTACCTAGTCTTGATAGTTTTGTTGCTTTGCACCCTTTCTTTTTTCATTTTAGTTAGTTGCTTTCCACTTTGATACCATCTTCTTAAATAATCATTTATCCGGTCAAAAAGAAGGAGGTTGCTATTCCCACCTACTCACTTCCAACAACAACATATATTATAGGAATGACTGTTCCTACTCACTACTCACCAACCAAACACAACAACCACTGCCTACATAAACCTCAAAAGCCTTTTGTTCCTTAGTCATAAACAACACAAGCTCTACAAACATGACAACAATTAATCCACAGAATCACTCGAACTTGATTATTGACTCAGTCACAGACCCTTTGAACTGGAATTCAGCTGCAAATTCACTCAAGGGTAGCCACTACGATGAAGTGAAACGCATGGTGGCAGAGTACAAGAAACCAGTTATCTGTCTTGGTGGGGTGGAGACACTAACTATATCTAAGGTTGCTTCTGTTGCTAACAGTAACTCACATGTTAAGGTTGAACTCTCAGAGTCTGCAAGAGCTGGCGTTGAAGCCAGCTGCGAGTGGATCGCGGAAAACATTGAAAAAGGCACTGCCATTTATGGTGTTACCACTGGCTTTGGTGCTGCCTCTCATAGACGAACTCAACAAGGCTTAGCTCTTCAGAAGGAGATGGTTAGGTAAGGTTCAAGTTCAACTCTCTAAAATTTATGCAGAGTTCCTATTTGTTATGTAAATGAAACTTTTATTGTCTTCATAAGGTTTCTAAACTGTGCAATATTTGGGCGTGAAACTGAGTTGTCTCATACATTACCTCAGTCAGCAACAAAAGCAGCTATGCTTGTGAGGGTTAATACCCTTCTTCAAGGCTATTCAGGCATTAGATTTGAAATCTTAGAAGCTATTACCAAACTGCTCAACAATAATGTCACACCAGTCTTGCCATTACGCGGTACAGTTACTGCTTCCGGTGATCTAATTCCTCTGTCCTACATCGCTGCATTGCTAACTGGTAGGCGAAATTCCAGAGCTGTTGGACCTTCAAAAGAGTCCCTTAATGCCAAGGAAGCTTTCCATTTAGCGGGGTTGAGTTCTGGTTTCTTCGAGTTGAAGCCGAAAGAAGGCCTCGCTCTTGTAAATGGTACAGCTGTTGGATCTGGTGTCGCTTCTACGGTGCTTTTTGAGGCAAACATATTAGCTTTGTTGTCGGTCGTTCTAACTGCGGTTTTTACTGAAGTCATGCAAGGGAAGCCGGAGTTTACACATCATCTTATACACAAACTGAAGTTTCATCCGGGTCAAATCGAAGCAGCTGCTATTATGGAACACATTTTAGACGGAAGCTCTTATATCAAAAACGCAAAACTGCAGCAGCCAGATCCATTGCAGAAGCCTAAAAAAGATCGCTACGCTCTTGTAACTTCTCCACAGTGGCTTGGTCCACAAATTGAAGTCATCCGGTTTTCGACAAAATCAATTGAAAGGGAGATAAATTCAGTGAATGACAATCCTCTGATTGATGTCACAACGGATCAGGCACTGAATGGTGGTAATTTCCAAGGCACGCCAATTGGAGTTTCGATGGACAACGTACGTCTAGCTATTGCTTCAATTGGAAAACTCATTTTTGCGCAGTTTACTGAGCTAGTCAATGACTTGTACAATAATGGGTTGCCATCAAATCTTTCTGCGGGTAGAAACCCGAGTCTTGATTACGGTTTTAAGGCTTCTGAAGTTGCCATGGCTGCTTATTGTTCTGAACTTCAATATTTAGCAAATCCTGTAACAAGCCATGTGCAAAGTGCTGAGCAGCATAACCAGGATGTGAACTCTTTGGGGTTGATTTCTGCTTTGAAAACTGTGGAAGCCATTGAGTTATTGAAGCTCATGTCTTCCACATACTTGGTTGCACTCTGTCAAGCTATTGACTTGAGGCATTTGGAGGAAATTCTTAAGAACAGTATCAAAAATACTGTAAGCAGAGTTGCAAAGAAGACACTAATCATAGATGACAAAGAAGAAATTAATCCATTCACAAACTGTGAGGAAAATTTGCTCAAAGTGATTGATAGAGAATATGTATTCTCCTACATAGACGATCCCTTTAATGTTGCGTACCCGTTGATGCTGAAACTAAAGCAAGTACTTTATGAGCACGCGCATATCAGTGCCGTTAATGATAAGAATGTGAGCTTGTCGATATTTGAGAAGATAGGAGCTTTTGAGGAAGAATTGAAGTCTCTGTTGCCGAAGGAAGTTGAAAATGCAAGAGTCGCATTCGAGAAGGGAAATTCAGAAATTCCAAACAGAATTAAGGAATGTAGGTCATACCCGTTATACAAGTTTGTGAGGGAAGAATTAGGGATAGGGCTGCTGACAGGAGAAAAGGATGTCACACCAGATGAGGAATTTGAGAAAGTGTTTACAGCAATGTGTCAAGCAAAGATTGTTGATCCAGTTTTGGAATGTCTTGGTGATTGGAAAGGAGTTCCAATTCCAATATAATCTTCCAAATGTCTGACAATAATAAGCTGGCATAACTTTTTCTTTCTTGTGTTATCCATGTAATGGCTTTTATATGAACTTGTTAAGAGAAACTTGTGAACTTTTTCTTTCTTGTGTTATCCATGTAATGGCTTTTATATGAACTTGTTAAGAGAAACTTGTGAACTTTTTCTTTCTTGTGTTATCCATGTAATGGCTTTTATATGAACTTGTTAAGAGAAACTTGTGTATATTTCTCTTGTATATGAAGAATGAATCAATAAGAAACTAGAGAGAAGATTTGCCTCAACTTATAAACACATGTTCAGATCATATATTGTCCAATATGAAATTCTTAACACACCCTCACGATCAAGACTGAATATCTAAAATGTGGAAATAAATGATGAATGACCTGATAGCAGAAACCTGATAATAGATGACTCACCGGATCTTAAACGAAGCTCTGATACCATGTTAAAAAATGTAGTTGAGCCTAACTCAACTCTACAAAACCGACTGAGGATTACCCTCACTTATAAGCACGTGTTCAAATTATATATTGTCCGATATGAACTCTTAACTGTATAAAAAAAAGGATTAAGATCCTCTCAATTTTGTATTCTCTCCGATTCTTCAACTACTATAGTTGTGTAAATAACACATTTCTAAAACATGTTACACATATTCAGTCAGTATTTACTTGTACTCCCATCCATTGAACTTGTTTTTGTTTATATATCTTCATATCATGAAAATAAATGTTACTTGACAATAATGATAATTAAGGTAACAAAACACATGCAACTAAAAAGTCCTTGAAGTGGAACAAAATTATGGCAGAAGCATACGAACACAAATCATGAAGAAATCTACAAGTAACTGTTTAATATTTGTTAACAAAATTGAAATGAATAAGAGATAAGACAGTTTCACAATTACAACTTTACTAAACTAAAGCACATTAAACAAAATGGTTTGAAAACACTAGTGGAATGAGTAAAATACTCATAGAAGACAAAATACAAGGGGAACAAAGTGCAGATTACATTGCAATATAAAATCATATGACATCTTTTTAAGGGAATAAGCAAAGCATCTGTTTTCCCTAGTCAATATGCAGAAGTTATATCAATTGAGAAAAATCCCCCCTTCCAGCCTTCCTTTTGTTCAGTTGATAAGAGATGGAAAAAAGATCAGCCTTAATCTATCTTTACCGATGCGAACAAGTAATGCACAAAGTAGAATGAGACAAGGAAACCAATGGTTCCAGTTGCCAGCATGATTGCAATTGCCATGAGAAGAGAATAGCCGATATAAAGTACAGCCGAGACAGGTCCGCTCAAACTCTGCAGGTCGAAAACCAAGTAGTTAATGGAGTACAAAAAGACATAAAGAGAAACAGAGCCTGATGCATAGAATGCCTTCCACCACCACCGCCAATCTTCGACACAGAGATGCATATATGTGAGGACCACAGACACTTCAGCACAAACAATAGTCAACAATAGAAGAACAACCAACAGGAACCCAAATACATAATAAAACCTCCCAAGCCAGATACTAGAAAGGATAAAGAAAAGCTCAATGAAAAGGGTTCCAAATGGAAGTGTTCCGGCACCAAGAACAAGAAGCCATGATGGATATTTCCGTGCAGGAATTTCTCTTGGAATCTGGTTGGTTCGCACGGGATATTCAATTTGCTCAGCTTTTGTCCCCATAAATCCTCCAATGAGAGTGAGTGGCACTGAAATGCAGAACCAGAGGAAGAACAGCTCAAAATACAAGGAAATGGGAATAGCACCAGTACTTTTGCTGCTCCAGAGAACAAAATTCAGTGCTGTTAGAATCGTAAAAGCAATTCCAGGAAAAAAGCATGCAGCAAACCATGAAATCGATCTCCACCCTTCTGAAGTTCCCTTCATGGTTCTCCAGAGACGTACACTTACATATCCGGAAGCAATTCCCAGGAAAAGATATAAAATTATCATTCCTGTAAGCAGCATTCCACGAGAAGCTGGTGACATGAAACCCAAGGCTGCAAAAACAATAGTAACAGCAGCCATTCCAAGAATCTGAACCCCATCTCCAACCATCACACAGAGGAGCCTTGAGCAACAAGGCTCCCTAAATACATCACCCACAACAAGCTTCCATCCAGAAAGCTCTTCATTCATCTGAGCCTGTGTCTCTTTGTCCAATTCCTCATACCTTGCTAAGTCCCTTCTCACCGTTCTTAAGAAAATAACAAAAACAATACCGGCTAGGAAAAAAATCACCATGAGGGAATTTAGGATAGAGAACCAATGTACTCGGGAACCCTCCATCTTTAAATAAGCATCCCAACGAGACGGCCATCTTATATCACTTTTCACAAACTCAACTTCATATGTAAACGATATCCTCTCTTGCTCTTTTATAGGTTGATACTTGTCAAGCTCAGCCGGGCAGTTTATCGAAGAGACATTGTCGTACATGTGGAGCTTTGTCATAACTTCAGGATCACGTTTGACACTACAAGGAACAACATGAAAACCAACAATTTCAAATCCAGAATCTTTCTTACTATCCCTTTCAATAACACCCATACCTTCCTCCCCAGTACCAATAATCTCAACATCATTTCCTTCATATTCATGAACCAAAACCGTAAACTTGAGATGGTTAATAATGTAATCCGTACTCCCATCAGTCGGCGTATACCCAATAGGAAACCCTGTCCATTGGATTTTCACCCCATTTTGACTAGCAAACCTCATAACAGGCAAATTATCAAGAATCATATTAACTTGATAAAGATCTCGGGTTCTCTGTTTCAATAGCTTCACCTCATGCTCATTCAACGGAGCTGTCGTACAAAGGTAAATCGACTGATTAACATTCATCCGGAAAAGGTACGGCGAGTTATCAATCTGATCACCCATAAGAAGCTCTCCAAGATTCTCGGCACTCTTCTTAATACCTCCAAGGGGTTGGCAATAAGGAAGACTATAGTAACTAAACGGAAGCTCGGTTTCAATAGAAGTCAATGAATTAACTTTGGCATATATTTCATCTCCATTCGAATAAGTGTGCATGTAACTCCCCGGTAGATAAAAAGCATTGCTAAATTGAACAAACCCAACGACGAAAACACAAATCCAACAAATCAAAGACTTTCCCATTATTCTCATAGTCGCAAAAACTCCAAAAATTCCAGCTTTCATGCAAGAAAAGTTGGAATATTATCAGATAACCCTAATAATGCATTCAACGCCAAATCTAGAATAAAAAAATACATAGGAAACAATTCAGAATGAAAATCAATCAAAAATATATGAAAATTCACAAATCAGATCATGAAAACTAAGAAAACAGATCGGATTAAGAATCAGATCAATATTGATAATCAACATAGGAAAGAATTGAGAATGAAAAAAATAACATGCAAGAATTCAAAAGAAGAAATTGGAGATTGTGAGATTCGGGTTACCATTGATTTTGGCGAAAGAGATCTGAAATTTGAACTGAGGATCGTTGGGAATGGGAAGAAAAGAAGAAATGGAGAGAGTTGAAAATAGGAATGTGGGTTAGTAGTGTAAGGAGTAAGTAACTAACTTTGGAAACTGTGGCCTATTGTGAAATGGGCCTTAATGGATACTAACAAAATGCTAGCATTAGAAACTAGTAGTAGGGTGTGTTTAGCAAGGTTCATTCTTTATATTTTTTGAAAACAAAAGAAATTGGATTGAATGAGATCAAGTGTTACAATATTTAATCCAAGAGCATTTTGATAAGATTGTAAAGGTCTTTTCAACTTAAGTAGAGGTCATTGAATTTTTTATTTATACAAAAAAAGTCATATAATATTTAAGATGAGTATGAGAATTTCTTCGATCTAAATCTATTAGGGATGGTATAAAGCATAATGAACATGTGTGTTTCCCCTTCACAGACCTATAGAAATCTCATTGGTCCCACTGCATTTGTTGTCGAATTTTCCACAAGAGCTCTTTATTGTTAGTGAAGAACTTGGTTCTAGTATTTTCTAGCGTGTCTCGGGCTGAGGTTTCTTCCGTTTAGTCTTTAATAGGTTCAACACAACAACTTTGTCGAATCCAGGTTGTGGGTTGCATATTTTATTTGTTGGATTTTCAAGAACTCCATGCCTTTTGCAAAGTGCGATTATGCATGGGAAATAGAGCATCCCAACCTTCTTCTATCTCTTGACATATGACCTTTGCAATGTTGATTCGAGTACATGCAGTGATATAGTGGAGCAAAACTAACTTTTTATTATTTACAATCTCATTATGTTTAGTTGGCATCAAGGAGTGACTTAGTAATTGATATCATACTTTGGTATGGGTCTCAAATTTACCCTTAATATAGTCTTTTCTACAGATTTATGTGTTTCCAGCCAAGTTGTCTCTAGGAGACAAAGAGAGTCTCTTATAAGTTCTAAGTCTTCATCATCAACTTTCTCGAAGAGAGATTGATAGGAGTCTTCAACTTTTTCACTACTTACACCATGTTAAGAGTCTTTTCAGAGTATTGAACCATCCTGCCTCTCACGAGCACTTCCATTTTCTTTTGAGAGGCGTTGATCAAGTTGGAGTAGAATTCCTTCATAATGTGAGTGTTGTAGGGGAAACAGTGTTTTCAAAATATTTTCTGTTTCTGAACAGTTATGATGTGTCTGATCTCATCAATAAGACCAAGGTCTTCATATTCCAAATAAAAGACAAAACATCTTTCAGACAAAACACTCATTGAAGCAAAGAACTTTGTGAATCTCCTATGAGCATCACTATTGAAAAATGTTTCAGTATTAGAGGAGTCATAGTCATAATACACCATATGAGAAGTGACACGCTTTCATGCACAAGTCTTGATCCTTTTCCGGTTGATTTGAGTTCCATTAGTGAATGTTTGAAAGGATAATGAATGGGGGTTAGGGATGGTTATGCTTTGACATAATTTTTCTTTTTAGAAGAGAGAATAAGCTTGATAGATTATTGCAATGGGCGAGTTAGTTTTTTTAAGAGTGAGAACACAGTTAAGTAATGGCATGTTAGAGGGAGAGAGAGAGAAAATTTGAAATTTGTGATTAGAGAAAAAGGAAATAACTGTTGGGTAATTACTACAAGGGTAACTTATGAGACAAGTTACAAAATTTCAGGTTTATGATGAGGACAAAGCCATCATTGCATAGTTCTTGTACGATGCATCAGACCAATGTGCATAGCTCCCTAGATTTTATCTACTAGTGCATGTTTTGTCTCATCCCTTCATCTCCTTTTTCTTTTCATTTTACTTAGCCCCTTTTGGCTAATTCCACGTGTCTTTCTCACTTACAAGTATGACATTCTCACACTTCCTTGACATGTCATAGTCGTGACCGAAGACTCCAGAGATCTTCATTAACTTAAGAATATTAATTCCAACATATCATTATAAAAATGAAAACACAAACAACTACGTTATTTTGGGATACCTCCTAGTAGAGCTAGTTTTAAGTCTTGTAGCCTGACTTTAAACAAAATTCTTAATCATTCAAACCCATGGAGACCCTCATGTTACTCAAAGGCTCATCAAGCTAAGTTTTTACTCTTTGATCATTCATTTTGAACATCTCCCCCTGTTTGTTCATTAAGAAGGTATACAACCCTATGAGAATAAGTTTTTACTAGCTTAAAGGGGTATAGCCATCTTGATTTTAATTTTCCAAGGAAGAGTTTCAACCTTGAGTTAAACAAGAGAATGTTTTGTCCTTCTACCAACTCTCAGTTTTGACATTTCCTGTCATGCCATTTTTTGGTCTTTTATTTATAAAGTTCAACATTCTCATAAGAGAACAATCTATGCTCTTCCGATTCATTTAGTTGTAGCGTCCTTGCTTGCCCAACAAACATGCAATTCAAATTTAAGTATTCCAATAGCCCAAAAGGCTATGTGTTGCAAATCAATGGGTAAATGTCAAGATTTTGCATATACAAGTCTATAAGGAGACATTCTTAAAGGTGTTTTAAAAGAAGTTTTATAGACCCATAAAGCATCATCAAGATGTTTTGACCAATCCTTCCTATAAGGGTTAACTACCTTTTCAAGGATTCTTGTTATGTCCCTATTATAAAATTTATCTTGTCTGCTATTTTGAGGATGGTAGAATGTAGCAACTTTATGTTTGACACCATATTTTCTCATCAACTCTTAAAAATATTTATTGCAAAAATGGGTTCCTTCATAACTAATGATGGCTCTAGGTGTTACATGTCTATAAAAATATTTTTATTTAATAATTTGGTCATAACTTTAGCATCATTAGTTGGAATTGTTATTACCTCTATCCACTTGGACACATAATCAACAACCACAAGGATGTAAAAATTTCAAAAGAATTAGGGAAATGGTCCCATGAATTCAATTCCACACACATCAAATAATTCAATTTTAAACGTTAGGGAGTGGTATTTCTTGCATCATGAAAATATTCTTTATCCTTTAACATCTATCACAAGTTTTAAAAATTCATTTACATCCTTGAATAAATAGGGCCATGAATAACCTCATTGTAGAATCTTAGTAGTAGTTCTGGTTCCTCTAAAGTTTTCTCCATAGGGTGCATTATGGCACGCCGATAAGATCTGACGCGCCTCTGGATAATCCATACATCTTCTCAAAAGCTGACCAACACACTTCTTGTACATGATTGGTTCATCTTAATAATAGTTCTTTGAATTATGGAAAACCCTTTTTCCTTTGTTGAGAGTTAAATTCTGAAGGTACATATCCATTTACCGATTAGTTCACAATATTTACATACTAGGGTGTCACGACAGTAGTCATCAAAAGTAACTACTCATCAGAAATCCCCCTTCATAACTTCTTTGTCATGTGTCTGGTCATCATCATGAAGTCTTGACAAATGATCAGCCACCAAGTTTTCTATTCACATTTTGTCTCTAATTTTCATATTAAATTCTTGCAGTAGTAGTGTTGTACCCCAATTTTTCCCCCTAAGATCCCTTCATCATATCATACCAATTCAATCATAACAAAGTCACACACTAGGGTTTGTTTCTTCTCCATATCTTTAGTCTTTCTCTATGGGGAATAACCAAGCACCTTGACTTGTATTTTGTGATCATCTATGTTTGATTACTCTTTAACTAACAAATAAAATGCATGCGTATCCTAATTGTTGATGATGTAGGTGAAATCACAATGCATTCCATCAAAGTTAGCTTTTGGATTCACGAGTTCCTTCTTTGTACCTTACTCAACAAAGCTTCATTGAGATTCAAGCCTCTATGAAAGATATTTTGAAGTAACATCATGACAAAGTATTTCATGATTCATTATGCCTCAAGTTGTCAAAGTTAGCTCAAAAGCACAAGGGTTGACTAAAGAAGTTTGACTCAATTGGACAAGTCTTTGTCTCCATTGATCACAAGTTCATATCTCCTTCAATCCTCAAGATGTGGAAGTGATGTTGGTTGCTATAACTTCTCATTATCATCCTCAACAACCTTTATTTGCAAGATAAAAGTATTATTTCAAGAAGGTTGATTAAAATTGCAAAGTTCTCCCCGAGGTATTTTCTTGCTCTAGAAGCTAGGGTTTTGAACTTCAAAGGGGTATATCTTGCTCATCTTTTGGTATTTTTGAGTGATTCCAAATACATCCTTATCTTAAAAGGGTTATTAATAAATCACTTCAAAGGTATCAAGGAAATTTTGTGTGTAAGAAACTTGATGATGAAGAAAGATTACAAGTCCTCCAGATGAACCCCCAAATCCCTTCACGTGACTTCAAATGATCATAACTTGATAAATTTTTATTACCTTGAACCCATTATTTTTCCACAATGATCTTGAATGTGTGAACTTCAACCCATCTTCAAAGTGCAAAGTGCAAAAGTGGATGGAAGATTCCCTAAGGATGCAAAGGATTATAGGTCATTTCATGAATTTTTGCCGACTTCAACAAGTCATAACTCTCTCAATTTTTGGATATTTTGAATGGTTAAAGTTTCAAAATGTCATTCAAGATATCCACTTCATGCTATATTTTTTGGTCAAGAACAAATTCCAAGTGGAAGGCCATGTTTGGATGAAAGATATTATAAGTCATTTTTGAAGAAAAACTTAGAAATTTTCTAAGTATGGAAAGTCAACTTCTTTTTCTCAAC